TTACGTGATTGTTGGGTATATTTCTCATTGGTTGGTTGATGGGGACTCAAGTTTGACTTGTGTGTTGATGCTTACTTTATGTTTTGAATTGGCATTGAATGATAGATGACGATTATGAGTTGAGATAATGGATTTGACTTGATGCTTGAGGACAAGCATCGTTTTAAGCGTGGGGATGTTTGATAAGTCGAAAATACGTGCTACTTTTGTAATGTAACTGAGGAAATATGTTGGATATTTGTGCTTAATTAATTTATTTTCGACCTTAACTTATAATTTCGAGTGGAAACTACTATTGTTGGAATTTTGTGTGCAGTTGATCATTATAACCAACATGGCAACAGTGGAATTTTGATGGACATGGCAATGTTGGACTTCTAAGGAACAGACAGTGCTGCGAGTTAATTGGATGTGGGCCTATTATTGCTGGGCCCATTATTGCTACTAAAGGACAGCCAAAACAGAAGCAGCGCATATCAGATTTTGGGAGACCTACCTGAACAGAACGAACAGCCGCAAGGGAGAAGACAGAAAAGGATTTTGGACGAGCAGCAACCTCAAGTTCACTTCTTCTCTAGACTTTTGAAAATACTTTTGCTAGATATTATGGAAGCCCTGCGCGGCTAATTCTCTTTTGTTTCGGTTGAACACGATTGAAACCCCAAACTTAATACTGTGAGATCTAATTAGTTTTTATCTATTAATTCATATTTCGTATTAATTGTTTTGTGTGTTTATGTTTATGATTTTGTGTTAGGATCGTAGCCTGATCAACTATTGTCTTGTGCACTTAATCTATTGCTTGGTGGATATTGAGTCGGATTTAGATGATTTATCTATCGTAAGAAGCAACTGAGCGTGGTAATTGACTGGATTTAGGCGTTATCATTCTTAGGCAAAATAATTATACAAGTTAGCATTTAACGGATTAGTTATTTGTTGCTTGTGTTGTCGGGCCCTACTTCTTAATGCTATTGCTAGGATAATTTTACACGATGTTGGGAATTGCCTAGTAATAAGGGTTGTGTAGAAGGATTTATTTTGCATAGCCAATTTAGGAGTCAGAATTCATCATTCAACGGCATCTACGTATTTATGAGTTGATAATATTTGCATCGAGGATCAGTAGAATAATTCGGGGTGGAAATCAGTTCAACCGGAGCACTTTAGCTATATATATTCATCTTCATCTTGCTGTTACTTTTGAGTCTCTTATTTAATAATCTTTTACCAATACTCTCTTTATTTTCTTGTTAATTAGATAATTAGGATTATAAATCATATCTCCCCCATTTTAATCACATAGTTACAGTCATTTAATTAAATTATTCCCCGTGGATACGATCCTTGCTCACGCTACTACATATTTTTAAGCAAGGTTAATTTGGGTGCCTACGACAGCACGACCAGTTAGCATTTTTTTAGTCTCTAGTTAATGAGAACTTATAGGCGACGTGTCTACGCCTTATTGGTTGTTATGGGTCACGAGAATGTTGTGATCAAGTGAGCATATATGTACTGTGGATCTTCTTCTTCATTTTGAGCTAAGAGAAAAATTACTCCAAAAATATTCAGAGTTATTTCTTTAGATCTGAGATTCCTATTTCTACACTTTTATAGGCAAATTCTACCGACACTTTCCACACCAATTATTCATACCCCATACATCATCTACTATTCTCATTTCTCTAAATAGTGAAATGTCACTATTTATGCATAGTGGTTCATTCCACTTGTTTATAACATTCCTACTCGGAATTACCACTATGCAATGTGCGTTTATGCTGCCTTCTTAAAAACCTTATAAAAGAGTACAACAGCACATGCTCCCCCTCGAGTTATCATCTGAGAAAATCTCGAAGATGTCTCATTCCAATGTTATAAACGTGCTTTCGGAATGTTGTAGTTGGGAGCGCCTTCGTAAATAAATCTGCTGCATTATCACTTGATCGGATGTATTGAATCTTGATCTATTTGTTCCTTTCAAGCACTTGAGTGTACGAGAAGAACTTTGGTGGGATATGTTTAGTTCTGTCACTCTTAATGTATCCTTCGTTGGTTTGAGCGACACATACTGCATTGTCTTCAAATATCACCGTCAGATCTTTATTATTCGATAATCCACTGGCTTGTTGAATGTGTTAAGTCATGTTTCTGAGCCAGATGCTTTTCCTAGTTGTTTCATGAAGTGCAATGATTTCAGCATGGTTTGAAGATGTAGCAACCAGTGTTTGTTTCTGAGAACGCCAAGAAAATGCAGTTCCACCAATCGTGAATACATAGCCAGTTTGAGATCTCGTCTTATGTGGGTCTGATAAATATCATGCATCTGCAAAACCAATCATTTCATATTTTTTTATCATTTGAGTAAAATAACCCCAGATCGGTTGTTCCTTGGAGATAACGAAATATATGTTTGATTCCATTCCATTGTCTCCTCATAGGTGACGAGTTATATCTTGCTAACAAGTTGGTAGCAAAGGATATATCTGGTCTGGTGCAATACGCAAGATACATAAGAGCTCATATTGCACTCATATATGGTACCTCAGGACCATGTATTTCTTCATTTTCTTCACAAGGTCGAAATGGATCCTTTTCAACATCCAATGTTCGGTTAACCATCAGAGTACTAAGGGGATTAGCTTTTTCCATATTGAATCGTTTCAGTACTCTTTTAGTATAGTTAGATTGATGGAAAATTATCCTATTCTGTACTCTTTCTATCTGTAAGCCAAGGCAATATTTGGTTTTTCCGAGATCTTTCATTTCAAATTCGCCTTGCAGAAAAGTGATTGCTTCTCGTATTTCATTTGTTGTCCCAATAATATTAGATCATCAACATATACAGCAACTGTCACAACTCCATCATGTGATTTCTTTATAAAGACACACGAACATATTTGATCATTTACGTATCCCCATTGAACAAATGTTCACTCAAACAATTTGATAGAATACATAACAAATATGACATTGTGAGCAGTCATTGCCACCTCATCACATGCAGCCATGAAAGCACAGGACCGGTTAACATGAAAAAAACCTGAAGAAGAAGACAAAAGATAGTGATAGCATTGAAGATGAAAAGAGAACCATAGGATCAAGAGTACTCTAGCATATAAATAGACATTACCTCTTCTGTAACCGTAAGAAATTAATGCACATGAAAGGCTGTGCAACCATGAAACCAAAAGAATGATGAATGATCTTTTTTGAGCTTACACTCATTCTGCTTTCTTTATTTTCAAATATAGCTTTTCATTTTCATCTTAACATGGTATCAAGAGTTATCATCTTTCCTTGGGCTACGAGTTAATCCCCTCCAGCTGTCACTTCTCTCATATCTGAGTTAATCCTTTCTTTCTCCCATTGCACTGTGTGGTCATTCAAACCGTCTACTCAGATCTACTGTTACATCTAAGCCATGGCTACTCCAAAATCATCAGACAACACCTCTAGTCCCTCAACACACAACACACCTCCCTTTATCCACCCACAACATCAATTAATCTCCATCAAACTCACAGACTCCAATTATTTGTTGTGGAGGCAACAAACCTACAGTGCCATTGTTGGCTATGGCCTAGAGAGCTTCATTGCTCAAGACTCTCAACCACCACCTAAATTTCTGCCCTCCAACAGCACAGATCCCCTCTCTCTCAACTCGGATTTTGCTACTTGGGTAAGACAGAACCAACTACTAATGTCTTGGCTGCTCTCCTCCCTAAGTGAAAACCTTCTCATTATGATGGTTGGAAAAACATCCTCTCGAGAAGTGTGGGTCTCACTAGAGTCTAACTTCTCTGGCCTCTCAAAGGCAAGACTCA